AAGTGCAGCTAATGGAAAACAGTCATCCAGGTTCACTGGTTGCTAAAGTTGAAGCTACTGACAAAGATATTGGATCCAATGCTCACATCACTTACATGTTTAGCCAAGCACCAGCAGATGTGCTGAGATCATTCAAGTTAAACAACCGTACTGGGGAAATTACACTTGTACGGAAAATTGATTATGAAAAAAACAGTAAGTATGAACTGAATATCAAAGCCACAGATGGAGGGGGACTATCTGCTTACTGTAAAGTCCTTGTGGATATAAAGGATGAGAATGACAATGCCCCAGAAATAACAATATCATCCATCACCAACCCCTTACCAGAAAACTCTCCCCCAGAAACACTGGTGGCTGTGTTCAGTGTCAGTGATCAAGACTCTGGAGACAATGGCAGAACTGCTTGCAATACTGATGTAAACCTGCCCTTTATCCTAAAACCCACTCAGAACAATTACTACGAGCTTGTGACTCAACAGCCATTGGACAGAGAACAAATGTCAGAATATAACATCACCATCACAGCCATTGACCAAGGTTCTCCGAGACTCACTTCAATGACAGTTTTTAACATTCAAATTTCTGATGTCAATGACAACTCTCCAATATTTGAAAGATCTTTGTATGATTTGCAATTGCAAGAAAACAGCATTCCAGGTCTGCTCATTGGATCAGTCCATGCTGTGGATGTGGACACAGAACAAAATGCCAAAGTGACCTATTCGCTCTTGCCTGGGAAGATCAAGGATGGGCCTGCATCTTCTTACATCTCCATCAACTCTGAAACTGGGAACCTGTATGCCATTCGATCTATAGATTATGAGGACATACAAGATTTTCAGGTGATGGTGAGGGCTGTAGATAAAGGCTCACCTCCACTGAGCTCAGAAACAATGGTCCAAGTTCATATCATGGATGAAAATGACAACGCCCCCTTTATCCTCTGCCCACTTCAGAACAGCACTTCTCCATCAAATGATCTTGTTCCCAGGGGAGCAGAGACAGGCTACCTGGTCACCAAAGTGGTGGCAGTGGACAGAGATTCAGGGCAGAATTCTTGGCTTTCCTATCAACTGCTGAAGGCCACAGACCCAAGTCTCTTTGCTGTGGGGACTCAGAATGGGGAAGTGAAAACCGTGAGGCCAGTGAACAACCGAGATAGTTTCAAACACACTCTTATTGTGGCAGTTAGAGATAACGGCCATCCTCCTCAGTCTGCCTCTGCCACACTAAGAATACTTCTAGTGGACGGCTTCTCTGATCCTTATATGAAAATCATGGATAATCCTAAGGGTGAAGTCCCACAGGAGGGAGATCACACCCTAACAATGTATTTAATTATCTGCTTGGTCACCATCTCATCCATTTTTCTGCTTTCTGTCATGGTGTTTATTGCAACCAAGTTTCAGAAGCGAAGGAAGTTCATAGGACGTTCTAACTCTGCATCTAATTTCCCTGTGGGTCCAAATTTGCAAGAGAACTGTGTAGATCGTAATACTGGGACACCTTCCCAGGCCTACAGCTATGAGGTGTGCTTAGCTGATGGGTCTCTGAGCAGTGAGTTCAAGTTCCTTAGGCCTCTCTTTCCTGTTTTTACTATGGAGCAGCCAAAAACACTGCTGAATCCACAGATTAGAAATGATTTCCATGATCTTCCTAATCAATTGGAGGAAAGGGAGCAGATATCTCAGGTGAGAATAATATATTAATGTAATTTAGTTATATGTCTATATAGTTGATGTACATCTATATATATACACTGACATTTACATGTATGAGTCAGTGAGTCAGGATTTTGGGATCTATGTGGTGGAGACACGCAGAAAGATGAAAAAGAAATTGATGGAAAGAGGAAACAATGTCACAAAAGAATACCCTATAAAAATAGCTAAAGAAGGGGCACTGCATTGATGGATGTTTGAATAATACAGAGGTTGTGAGTAAAAAACTATATATTCTGCAACATGAAAAGTCATGGGAACAGGATGCCGTCATACTGGAGCACCTACTGGACATTATCAATCTTTTTTTAATAATGTTTATAAAAATGTTTTAAAAATAATAATAGAAGACAATACAAACTAAACTCAGAAAGGAAAAGAAAAATAAAGAGAATAGAAAGTGCAAGAGAAAAGAAAAAAAAGGAGGAAAAAATAAGAAAAAGAGAAAAGAAATATTTAAGGAAGTGACTTCCAATCTTTATCACAAGTACAAACAAACTTAGTAATTCTTTACCCCCATAAGGTTATGTACAAGTATCTCTTCTTCCCATAATCCATCTCTTATCTATATGCAAATCCATAAATCATTAACATTTCAGTCCTAGTGTCAGCAAAAAGTCCATAAGGGTTTGCAGAATTTTATAGAAACATGTCTTAGTTTAACCATGATCAAGCAAGCCAACTTTGTATTCCTTCCTTTTGCTTCTAGCAATCTTGAGCTTTAATTTGTTCAGATGTCATACGATTTGATCTCTCTCATTTTTTTCTTTTTCCCATCTCAAAGGCTTCTCGAGGCTTTAGCAAACCTCTTTTGTAAATCCAGAAAGTAGTCATTATCCAGGTCATTCTCTTGGCTTGTCCTTTGTATTTCCACTTAACTGTCGTCTCTGTTTTATAATTTTTTTTTTATTTTCCAGTATTTCAATTTCTTTATATTCTAATATTTCTGCATCTGATGAGGTTTGTTTCAGCTCTTTATCCTATAGACCTTCTAAAGTAGTCTCTTTCACACCTGTCATTTCTTCTTTAACATCTTTTGGACATAGTCTGTCCGTATAAGCAGACATCATTGCTGACATTGTAGCTACTAGTTTCTGTCCCCATTCTTCAAATATCTTCTGGAATATTTCAGATGTCATACCATTTTCTGTCATTTTGTCTCAATGCTGACCAAAGGCAAACCTCTCTCTCTCTCTCTCTTTTTCTTTTTCCTTTTCTGCCTAGAATCTTTAGTCCCCTCTAGTGTCCAGTTTCCAAAATCATAAAGTCTCAAATTTCTGTTATGACTTAAGGTAAACTAAACAATTTAGTTCCCATGAAGGTGCTGTTTATTTATATAATTATTTCCAAGGTCTTGTACCAAAAGTCCTAATATTCCAAATTCATCTGGTGCCTTAATTCATTTATAACTTTCTTGGATTAAACTCTTACTTAGTTTTTTGGCGTTTGTTTCAAATTCTTTAAATTCTTAAGTTTATAGTTAATTTTTTTTTTTATTCTGGAATGAAGGTAAACTCACCAGGTGGCTTTGCAAACTTGTCGTTTTGAAGATCTCTAATAGCCTTAAGATAGTTAAACAGGTAATTTCTGAGAGTGATTAGAAAGCGAATCCAGTGTCCTTTAAAAGGCTTCACTGTGGTTGAGAGTGTGATGGCTTCCCTTCATCTCCTGGCACTCAAATATGTGGGAAACCACTATCCTGTGGTCTCCTTGGGAGGAGCAGCTGTCCAGAGCACAAGTGGGCAATCTCCTGCCCTCTCCTTATCCAGAGAGGTTCTTGGGGGCCTGGTCTACTCTCTGGTCCTTCGATCATGGCTGCTATATCATCTCTGCTTATTCGGAAATGTTAGCTCACCATTTCTTACCCAGAAGTCCTGGACATTATCAATCTTCTGATGATACCCAGTATGTTTACTATAAGCAGCTAATTCCAAAGGGGTGGTAATACAGGGTTTATTCGCACTGCCTAGTTGTCCTGTCACCTGAAAGAGGCTTCTACTGTTTTTGGAGGGCAGGAACAGAAAATGTCAGCCTTTACTCATCTCCCTCCCATCCCAGACTTGACTTCCAGGCACATTTTCCTACTGAGTGATCTTGTCCATTTTGGCTAGAGTACTTTGCTTCCTTACAGACTAACCACAGCAATTAATTAACTACTTCAGAGAGGAAAGAATGCCCCCTTAACTAGGGGAGTGAAACCCTTTTACTGGCTGAAATGATGAAGTAGTAGAACCTTGCACCACTCCTCCTCCTCCTCCTCCTTCTTAGTATTATTAAAAGCCCTTGGCTACTATAGCTAGGGAAAACTAATTAGCAAAAGGAAAGAAAATTAACTCCCATCCAACCCCCATTTCTGCTGGGTTTTGAATCAGCCACCTCTGTCATACAAGGCAAATCTCTTACCTATTTTAGTCATGATGGCAAAGGGAAGGTTTAGAAGTTATTACACTGCAAAAGGACTAACAAGAAATTAATATTTATTTTAAAGCTGTTTGTGAGCACCTGCTTGTAGATGCACATTGATGCTTCAACTTGTTATATATAAATGTAACTTCACTATGTATAGATATATTTCTATACATATTTATACAGCTTACAGTGTTATAAAAGTATTTATGTCCAGGAAGGCCCACCCATAGGAAGGAACACAAGTAACAATTGCTTTTCTGGGACACTAAGGTGGGAAGGTGCAGCAGCAAAGGAATTGCCAGGGTGGGGACCTGGTTGCCTGCAGTCCAGACTGAATGCCTTGAAAGCTGTTGCAAAGTGTCCCACTCCAGACATATTTTTCTTACACGTGTGTAGACTTGATATGCATGGACACAGAAAATGAACAGCTTAAAGTGTAACTGTGGATATGCCCACAGTCATATGAACTACACCTTGAAAGAACTGGATTACAGGTTTTATCATAATGTGAAATTTCTAGTGCCAGGTATCTCTCTGTTTCTTTTTTTCACTGGTCACATAAGTAAAAAGATAATCCTCTTTTGCTTGGGCGGCTAGCAGTATTTATATTGGATAGATAAGGATGAATTCAATGTAATCTTTCTTTGTGACTAAACCATGTTAATATACAGTATATGTTTGCCTGCTTGACCACATGGTGGCGGTATTAACAAAGAAATTCAGTTCTGTTCTATATCTTCCTCAATATCAGGACAAGAAAGCTATTAAGAAAACTGAACATGAGAAATCTGATTCTTTTGCGATGAAACATATATAGATTATAAGATGGTAAAACAGTGAATAAGGAAGAATAAAAAATGATTTGTGCAATTAAATCATAAAGAAAGGAAGTCAGAAAGACTGAATTTTGGCAGAACTTGATCTTACAAGGAAGAGACTGGAATCATGGAAAATTACTTTTGGAAAAGACAAGGTCTGTATTTCCTTCTTTTTTTCTCATTTGTTAGAGTAATGTGTACTTCAATTCGCCTTTCTGTCCTTGAGGAAAAGAAAAAGGGTTTTCTGGTGGCTAATGTGCTTAAAGATTTGAAACTGAAAACAGAGGAGCTCACAACACGCAAAGCACGTCTAGTTTCTGATGGCATTCAGAAATATTTCCACCTTGACATCCATACTGGGAATCTGTTGATTCATGATAGACTAGACAGAGAAGCTTTATGTGGCCAGAATGACCCTTGTTTACTTCTATCTCAAATTGTGCTGGAAAACCCCTTAGATATCTTAAATATTGAAATCAAAATAGAAGATGTAAATGACAATGCTCCCAAATTTTGGAAAAACAAAGTGGTGGTGGACATTCCTGAAAATGTCCCTAAAAGTATGATATTCCCCTTGGAATTAGCTCAAGATGAGGACCTGGGAGAGAATAGCATTCGAAACTATACCCTCAGTCCCAATGAGCATTTTCAGCTTGAAGTACATAAGCAGGAAGATGGAAGTAAAAATATGTATCTTATTCTGAAAAAAACACTAGATAGGGAGAAACTGCCAAACCTTGGACTGACTCTGATGGCTATTGATGGAGGAGTGCCGCAGAAAACAGGCACAATGCAAATTAGTATCAATGTTCTAGATATTAATGATAACTTTCCTCAATTTCGTAAGTCTGAATATAAGGTAAAAATAAAAGAAAACATTCCTAAGGGAACTCTGGTGATTAAGGTGGAGGCCTTGGACCTTGATTTTGGTTCAAATGCACAGATCCTCTACTCATTCCATCAAATCCCTGAAAGAATAAGCAATTTGCTCTTTTTAAATGAAAGGACTGGAGAAATCACTGTTTGCGGACAGATGGATTATGAAAAAGAAAAGAGTTACAGCATAAACATCAAAGCAACAGATGGAGGGGGCCTTTCAGGTCACTGCAAAATACTGATAGAGATTGAAGACGTGAATGACAACGCCCCAGAAGTGTCCCTCATATCTCTAACCAGCATCTTAAAGGAGGATTCTCCCCCAGACACAATGGTGGCCCTCTTCAGTGTAAGAGATCAAGACTCTGGAGACAACAGCAGAACAGTCTGCTCCGTGGAGATGAACCTCCCTTTTGTGCTGAAAGCCACCACAAATAACTTTTATCAGCTTGTGCTGCAAAGTCCCCTAGACAGACCTCGCTGAGTACAACATCACCATCACAGCCATTGACTGGGGCTCTCCTAGGCTCACTTCAACAAGAATGGTTAATGTTCAGATCTCCGACGTCAATGACAACCCTCCGCTTTTTGAAAAGTCTTTATATGACATGCAGATCCGTGAGAATAATATTCCAGGCTTGCTCATTGGCTCAGTCCATGCTGTGGATCTGGACACAAAGCTGAATGCTAAAGTGAGTTACTCACTTTTGCCTGGGAAGGGTGGTGATGGCCTTGTGCCCTCTTCCATCTCAGTCAACTCTGAAACTGGAAATGTGCATGCCCTCCGATCCCTGGACTATGAGCAGATAAGAGAGTTCAGAGTTACTGTGAGGGCAACCGATGGTGGTTCTCCTTCCTTGAGCTCAGAGGTGGTTGTCCGAATCGTCATCATAGATGAAAATGACAACGCTCCATTCTTCCTGTATCCCCTCCAGAACAGCACATCCCCATGCAATGAGCTGGTTCCCAAGTTGGCAGAGGCCGGCTATCTGGTCACCAAGGTGGTTGCAGTGGATGGAGATTCTGGTCAAAACTCTTGGCTTTCCTATGAATTGCTGAAGGCCACGGACCCTGGACTTTTCAGCATAGGAGCGCAGAATGGAAAAGTGAAAACCAGGAGAGCCCTGAACGAGCGAGACACAAACAAACAGAGGCTTGTTATACTGGTCAGAGACAACGGTCTTCCTCCTCAGACCAGCACTGCATTGCTTAATATTCTTCTTGTGGATGGCTTTTCGGATCCCTTCCTGAGGAGGGTGGATGTCAGTGTGCAAGAACCAGAAGATGATAAAACGTTGACCAAGTATTTGGTGATCTGCTTGGCTGCAGTCTCCTCTGTGTTCCTGGTGTGCATTGTTGTGTTTATTGTGATCAAAGCCCTCAAGAAGGATCCTCAAAACAATGAGCCTCCTCACTTCCCAGATGCCAATGTTGATACCCCAGAGATCTGTGCTGATTCA